TGGGAGAACTTGCACAATTGGTGGCTGACTAAATACTTTTTTGCCCCACTGTATACCTTTAGGAATTTTTTTAAAAAAATTGACTTCACTAACAGCATCATTAATAAATCTTTGGGAGGGCTCAGATTCTATCTGCTTTGGAGGACTCCTGCTTCAATCCACATTTCTCCCAAATCAGTCCAGTTCAGTTCTGGCATTTAGGATTTTGAAAATATCCACCACACATTCATAATTATAATAAATAATCATATAGCTGGCAGTATAACTAACTACCAGTTAAACCAACATTTTGACAAACTTTCCCATAAAATATCACAAATATAAGAAAATACAGTTATAATGTATAGTTGTTCTGTAAGAGATTCTAATTAGTAAGGCTCCACCCCTTTCCTATCCCTAATGGTTAAACAGAGCTAATCATGACTAATAGTAAAAAAAGGAATGGGATAGTGAGGGGAATAAAATTGTTTATAAATTGATCCAGTATTTTAAAAAAGGTAAAGATGCCTCAGGTCTTTACTATATGCCCTTTTCTTGACCACATTACAGAAGAGGTTTGCCGCTGCCTTTTTCTAGATTGTTTTTTTTTTTAATTTCCCAATGTTCCCTAGTGATTTCCCATCCAAGTATTATGTTGGCCCACACAAGGTCAACCATCTGCCGCCACCTGCCAAGATGATAAAATGCAGACACTATGATTTGCTTTTATCCTGGAGGCAAACAAGAGAATTCAATTCCATAAAGGTGTTTTGGAGCAGGGGGAAAGACATGAACATAGCACCCATCTGAAACTCTTAAAAACTGCTCCATTGTTTCTTGGGATTGTCTGTCAATGATAGAAGACAGCTCTGGAGTCCCAGAAGGAGACATGGCTGCTTTAAAGAGCTGTCGAACATGCTCCGTTCACACCCATCTTCTCCATAGTGCTTTTTCTGAATTCTTCAAAGTGCTGCATTGCCTATTAGGCAACAACATACAATCTCACTCCCTCACTTCCATACACCAACAGCCTCTCTCTGCACAAAATTTGTCCATGTGTAAAAAGGACAAATCTACAACTCTACACATTCACAGGCATGCATGACACTTTTTTTCTTTTTCCAGTGTTTTTAATTGATCTTATAACCAACAAGGAAGGCTTTTTTCAGCTGCGTTCTGGGAAGAAAGGAGGAGCCATAATTCTTATGTTTCCTTTATTGTTGTTTAGTCGTTAAGTCGTGTCCGACTCTTCGTGACCCCATGAGCCATATTGCGCCAGGCCTTCCTGTCCTTCACCGCCTCCCTGAGTTTGCTCAGCTTCATGCTCATTGCTTCAGGGAGGCTATCAAACCATCCGATCTCCGCCGGCCCCCTCCCCCT